TTCAAACACATCAGACATACAATTTTCCAGGGATCTCATATCGTTCGTAAATAGCACATCCATAAAACCTCTTGTTGAAGCAGTTTTAGTCAATGGCAGATTTTTTTAACAATAACATTACTGGAACAAAAAATTTATAAGACATGGTGCGGAGTCAAATTTTTCACAATTTACTTCTACTTCATTATCTCTTTTGCAACTTAGGAACAATAATGCATACTAAGAAATTTAGATCTACTTAAACTTACTTTATATATAAATAATCAACAATAAATTCACTACAAAACTGACGGAGCAATTCACACGATCACCGTCGAAATACAAAATGTCTGTATCAAATTCATTAGATTAAACTTTAACTAACTGTTTGGTGCAGGCGTTTCATGTTGCAATTATTGAACACTCCTTAGTGTAAAGAAAATAGGTTTCAAAATACACAACATATATGACCAAAACTCAGTGCAAATACAATTATTTTCTTCTCATGTACAAATCTAGACAATTAATAAAATTTTTGAATGTGTCTTGAAGACTCGTACAGACACGTTCAGGCAACATCAATTGCCAAGAACACATTGCATGAAAGTCGGAAGTGGTACAGAGCCCGACCTCAGCCAGTCTTAAATGAAGGACTATCATATTTAAACATAGAACAGTGGCCAAATAACTTTTATTTTTAAATAATATGTGCTAAAATTTCTTGGCGAGCTCATTCCCATGTCTATTATATAAAGTAATTTTTTACTGTAACTGTTCCTAAATAGGTTTACAAACAATACGATCGTCAATTTCCACACAATTAATTTGATTCCCCTGAGGTCCGTTACGCTGTTGCACTCGAATATAGTTATTCTCGAGGCTTTTTCTATACCTTAACGACTCCTTACTATTGTCAAACATCTCAAGGGTATTGACAAACTTTGAGACTAATTTCCTATTTCTCGTGTTTGAAGGAGACTTGCTGCTAGCTTTCTCCATTTTCAGTTTTTGGGGACCATTTCCGTTATAACCGACAGGTTGCATTATTACCGGAGGAGGATTGTCCCATGCTAGCGGTCGTCTGTCGTTGACATACGGCGGATACCAATAGCCACATTCTACTCTGCCAAAACGCAACCTACATCCTCCTGACAACTCCTTTTGGATTTCATCCGGACTAAGTCCCCGTACATTTTTATCATAGCCACACTGAATGCGATCATTTACTGTTCTACAATTGGAGCTATCAAATTCATAGGGACAACAACCTTTTTTTTTCCCAACTTTTTTCGGTGCCGGTGGTGGCTCAGTTTTAATACCATAATGATCGGATATTCTCTTTGACACTGGCGGGAGTTGTAGAACCGTCATATCAGCGTCATCATCAGAGGCAATCTTGCTTCGTGTGCTTTTAGAAGATTTGCACTTTCCTGTAGTTATATGCAGGAGCACAGCTACACATACCTGAATAACAGAAACACTTGATCGAATCGCTGACAAAAACGTCAAGAACAGTTTAGATTTCTCAACATTACAGTTTTATCAGATCTGTAGTTAGAATCGCTAAAGAATACGAGTACATTAAAATTAACACTGACTGACCATTAAAAGTTCAACATCATGACTCCACATCTCTCCACCAAATCAATTTGTCCTATCACAAATTCACCAAGTGGTACATTTCAATTAGCTTTATTCAATATCAAGTAAGGTTAGTAGAAAAAGGCTTAAAAACTACTCAGTGAATAAAACAATATAGATCTTTTTTATATTTTTTGGTTTGGTAACCATGGACAAAATTAGCGAAGTACTGGTAGTAGTACTAATAGTTCGTTGGATAAATGTTTGCTATAGTTTTTATTACGAAGTCATGTTTGTTTCTTTATACCTTTTATTTCCTGCAATAAGTAAATAGCATTTAGATAAAAAATATATGTAATTACAAAGTAGCATTTTATATAACAACTCTTTATTTATCCAGCCCAAATTTATACTTACTGAAGGTAGGAATATTACTTTGTTTTCTTGTTCTTCAGTGCTGCACAATGTCTGTATTTGTTTAGACACCGCTTAAATTAAAACGGCAAAAAGAGCTTACAAGCCAAACGTGTCATCTGATCAAAAGAAATCTTAAACCATTCATCAAAAATAGGTATCCAATACAGATTACATCTTAAAGTAAATACACGACAATCTTTATTTTGCCGAAGATTTTGCGCTTTGAAGGGAATGTGACACTGTTTTTTGTAAGACTAGCAAAAGTTGTAAAAAATCGTCTGTAATCAGCAACAATAGATTGGATCACAATATGTGTAATTTGTATTTCTTGTTTCGTACATTTTTAAAGAAAGTTTTAAGCCATCATGCATTGTACAGTCCATGTTTCTTTTAGATCGCTGAGCAAAGAAAGTAAGGTTTTACAGTAAGTTTAACCTATAAAATACACTTTTGACGTCATGAAATACGTAATTGATGATATGATACAGTCACTTCTTCCATACACATGATCCATAAACTAGGTCGTATGTGATTAATTGGAGGTTGCATGGCGCTTATTTTATAATTACCACATTTTAAACTTCTGCATCTAATAAAACCTTAGACTATGGAATCCAAAGAACTTGTTATATTGACATATATAAATCAGACGTTATATGTATACGATGCATTTAGACGTTGAAAACATAAACATTTTATTGTCTTTGCTTATCTACTGCGTGCCGTCGTAAGCTAAAAGAGATAGCACTACATAGATTTATGTCAAAAAAGGGAATCGAAAATACGTAACGTCATCTTAAATGTCAATTGTCCTCATTGCCATTTTTGTAGTATCCTTTGATAACCGTTTCCGATTGTCAAAGGGAAGTACATCAAATGTCAAAACCAATGTTTGGCCAAATGTTTTAGTGAATTATTCGCACGAATTGTAATGAAATGGACAAGAATATTGACAATGAGAACAATTAAGTATTGATAAAAATGCATCGCTGCAGCATTAAGGGGTGAGGCAATAGAAAAAGCAGAAATCAACCGAATGTTACATTACACCGGTTATTGCTCTGCCTATAAATCATACAATAGCCCAAATATCTCATGTAATTAGACTCATTTATTCATCATCCAGCTTGGGGTGGATCTATTAAGACGAAGTTTATACAGTTAGAGAGAGCTCAGCGTTCTATCTTGAAAGTAATGTTTAAAAAACCTCGTAGATTTCCCACTGAGCTACTGTACTCCATTGGCGACTTGTTAACGGTACGTAAATTATATATTCTTCAGGTTGTACTTAGAACGCACAAGAATATAGGTTTCAATGCAGCTTTTCTTCAGAAAAGAAGAAAATTTAATGTTGCTCCCGTACATATAATTAAGACAACTTTTGCGTCTCGACAATACAAAAAACAATCCACTCATATTTATAATCAAATTAATAAACTGCTACATGTATATTCGCTAAATGCCTATGAGTGTCGTAATGAGACAACTAAATGGTTAAAGTCTAAAAATTATAATGAAGTTGAAAATCTTTTGCGAGTCTCGGTCTAAGTAATCACCTGCTCAAACACACACACGCACACGCACACAGACACACACACACACACACACACACGCACACACACACACACACACACACACACACACACACACACACACACACACACACACACACACACACACACACACACACACACTCACTCACGCACCCATCCACGCTTGCACCCATCCACATAATTAATTTTTAATCTTAATTTGTTAACATAAAATAAGATCAGCACTTAATCTAAGTAATAATTGTACCGGATTGGAGGAGCGGTGGCTTCTGACACAGGTATTTTCATACTTAAAAGAAGTTCACTGGCAATGATATATGTAACCTAGATTAAGTTAAGTCAATAAATTTGTTTTTTTTTTTTTTATTTAAGTAGTTAATTCATAAGTCTTGCCGAATTTTACTTTGATTACTTTAGATTGCCTGTTTGTTAGTATATTTTGATAATTGTTGATAACGATTATTTTGAGATAGTGTTGTTCTTGTAAGCATATTATCGATATTCTGTTATTGACACAATTCACTGCGAGGTTTTTATTATTTCATTATTATTATTTTTAAATTTACCTACAAATGAAAAAAGAACGAGATAATGGTTGGAAATTATAGGACTGCCGAACAGAATTGAATTGAATTGCAGAACCGAATTGGATCAAATATCATCTTCGTTTGTTCGCTCCATTTTGAAGAGGCAAATTTTAATAGAACTTTGAATGTAAGTAGATTACCTACATGATAATGCAATTCCATCGTTATATTTATTGGTAAATAACTTTATATTTAATTTTGATTAAAATGGTTCATAACTTGCCTAGTAATAATAGCCTAAGTATTAATCATACTTTGATTACAGTTAAATTATAAAAATTTGGAAACATAAAACACAGTAACAACAGTTTCAACATACAAGCTATACATTTGCATGTCGATATTGACTATCTATGATTATGGCTCAACGCTAAATCTGCCATTTGTGGTGAACATTTTTGGTTTAGTTAGGTACGTTTAGTCCGTAGTTAAACAGCTCGTTTCCTTTATTTTTTTCCATCCTCTAAGAATAAAACCCATAACGTCCATAAACCTGAATCTTGAAAAACATCATACACTAATACAGCTTCTGCCCTTAAAAAGTGACAATTTTTTTTTTCATTTCATTCATTTCACCATGAAGAATAATCCCACTGATTTCAGCAAATTCTTAGAATCGTCTTTTTCTTGTTGGCGGGTGACATGGAAACAGGATGAGAAGATGAAGAGGAACATGATTGGGTTATGCATGAAAATGACAAGCGTAATCTATAAAAAGGAAAATAACAAATATCGGTTACAAACACATCAGACGTACAATTTTCTCACTATATATAGATTCCCATGTGGTTCGTAAATAGCACATACATAAAACCTAACTCTTTCTTTCATTCAACCATTTTTTTGCAACAACATAATTGGAATCGAAAATATATAAGAATATGATAGACAGTCGACATTGTCACAATTTACTTCATTAACCCTTTTGCAACTTGGGAACAATAATGTACAGTAATAATAAATTAACTAAAAACCTATAGGATAATTTCATACGATAACCGTCGGTATATAATACAAAAAAATATCCTCATCAAATTCCTTAGATTGCGCTTTAACTAATTGTTTGGTTCAGGCGCTTCGTGTTTCAATTTTATTGAACACTCTTTTAGTGTAAAGAAAAAAGTTTCAAAGTACATAATATTTATGAAATCGACGTCAAAACTCAAGACGCTTATTGCATGCGTAAAAATTTTTTTTCATGAGAACAAGTACAAGTCTAGACAAGAAAGAAACAATAATTTTGAAATATGTCTGGAAAAAAGTCGTACAAAAATGTTATGACAAACGTCAATTGCCTAGAACACTATTCTATAAAACTCAGATGTCGTACAGAACCTGACCTCAGCCAATCTTAATGAAAGGACTTATCATACTTAACACTGAACAATGGCCAAACAACTTTTATCTTTAAATAATATGTGCTAAAATGTTTTTTCGATCTCATTTGCCTATTATACAAATTACCTAATTTATAACAGTAACGGTTTTTAAATAGGTTTACAAACAATGCGATCGTCAATCTCTACACAATTAATTTGATTCCCTCGAGGTCCATTACGCTGTTGCACTCTACTATAGTTATTCTCGGGGCTTTTTCTAAGCCTTAACACCTTACTACTGTCAAGCATCTCAAGGGTATTAACGAACTTTGAGACTAATTTCCTATTTCTCGTGTTTGAAGGAGAGTTACTGCTAGCTTTCACCATTTTCAGTTTTTGGGGACCATTTCTATCAAAACCGACGGGTTGCATTATTACCGGAGGAGGATTGTCCCATGCTAGCGGTCGTCTGACGTTGACATATGGCGGATACCAATAGCCACATTCTATTCTGCCAAAACGCAACCTACATCCTCCTGACAACTCCTTTTGGATTTCATCCGGACTAAGTCCCCCTACATTTTTATCATAACCACATTGAACGCGATCATTTCCTGTTCTACAATTGGAGCTATCAAATTCATAGGGACAACAACCTTTTCTTTTCGCGACTTTTTTCGGTGCCGGTGGTGGCTCAGTTTTGATATCGTAGTGATCGGATAACGTCTTTTGTTCTGACGGGATTTGTAGAACCACGACATCACCGTCTTCATCACGCCGAATCTTGCTTCGTGAGTTTTGAGGATAATGACAGGATATGCACCTCCCTGTAGTTGTATGCAGGAGCACAGCAACACATACCTGAACAACAGAAATACTTTAAATAATCGCCGACGATAAAGGCTTGCAAGGTTTAGATTCCATAACATTTACAGTTTTGTCAGAACGTGCAGTAAGGATCGGTAAAGAATATAAAAAATTAACACTGACTAACCACTAAAAGTTTAACATCGTGACTCCACATCTCTCCACCAAATCAATTTATCCTATCACAAATTCACCGAAGTTGTACATTTCAATTAGCTTTATTCAATATCAAGTAAGGTTAGTAAGAAAAAGGCTAAAAACTACTTAGTGAATAAAACAAGACGGTTAACAACATTTTTATATTTTTGACATCAAACCGTGGACTAAATAAACGAAGTCAACTCTACTTCGTAGGAAAAATTTTTATTATGAAGTCATATGTCGTTTCTATAACCTTCAATTTCCTGCAACAATTAAATCGCATTTAGATAAAAAAACATGTGCAATTACAAAGTAACATTTTTATACAACTCACAACCCAGCCTAAATTTATACTTACGTAGGTAGGAATATTGCTTTGTCTTATTGTTCTTTAGTGGTGCTTAATATCCTTATATATATAGTCATCGCTTAAATTAAAGCGGCAAAAGGAACTCATAAGCCAAACGAGTCATCTAAAGAAATATTTCTTAAACCTGTCAACAAAAATAGATATCCGTTACTGATTGCGTCTTGTAAATACATGACAATCTTCAGTTTACCGAAGACTGTACTCCTTAAAGGGCATGTGATAATGTAAGCTTTGCGCGCTGAAGGGAATGTGACACGGTTTTTGTAAGACTAGCAGAACTTGTAAAACTTCTATTTGGAATTTTAGTGTCGTCTAATGGACATCCAAATATATCTTTTATACTCCCAGATGATTTCGATTTTGACGGTTTTATAATATCACCATTATCATGGTTATAATAAAAATATTTAAATAATGATAATAGTCTATTTTTCGTTCGCCTTGTTCGATATCCTTTTATCATTGCAGTCAAGGTTTGTGCGCCTAATTCATCTCTAGATTCTACGTGACCTCCAAGTCCAGAAAGTGGCACTTCTTCATTGTAGTCCCGAAACATACTTCTTACAACATTACTTTCATCTTGATCCAATCCATATTTTTCAATAACCTCGTCTATGTCTAACCCTTTAACTATTTGAATATGCTCAGAATTGACTGGATACGAAAAATTTTCATTAATATAAAGTACTGACACTCCGCGATCCTTCAGGTGTATAGGTTTCTCTAAATTAGAGAAATATGTAGCTTGATCTTCCATTGGCTTTCCCTTTTTATTAAACATTCGGAATATTAAACGACGCATGGATTTACGCCAGGTATCAGTGTTGTATGAACGCTGAATTTGTGTTCTAGTTCGTGAGGAAATCACAGGTTTCTGCCTTTTCCAAACCATTGAGGCAATCCAAATTTACGGTCATAAAAAGAAGTATTTTTTTTATAATTCTTTTCGTATTGTGGTTTGTCGGTGCAAGTGAGCTAAATTAGCATGGTTTCGAGCGTATTCGTATTGCTGATAATTCTCTAAACCAACTGTTGAACAGGAGCCGTTCAGGTGTTTCAGGTGTACTTCAGCATGCAAATAACCATAACTGAAAATAAAATTTAAGTACGAATAAAACTTGGAAAATTTGCTTTCTCAGCTTTCTTGGAGCTGGCAATAATAATAAGTACACAGTAATAAAGTTTTCTTCCGAATCTTCAAATATACACCGCTATAATTTTAGGGAACAGCTTCTCTTGGATAGGTTTACAGTTTGGTTCTCTTGTAGACATATTAGACATAATTATAAGACATATATTTTCTGGTAGTGTTCTTCTACATGATCCTGAACATTTTATCCAATTGTTTTATCAATTATGGCATAATATTATGCACTGTCCTATTCAGACATTTGATATGAAAAATTGATTTTGGTGATATAATTTAATATTTTTACTTTTTATGTTCACTACTATCAGCTTCAAGTTGTCAAATTAAATGTTAGGGAAAACCTTAGACTATGGTATCTTTTCCATCAGGGAAAAACACAAAGAACGATCGACCAAAGACAAAAAATTTAATTTTACGAATAAGTTTGTGTAAAAATAATTCCCATTGAGCATTTATTTGCTACCTATGTTAATATGCAAGCTGTACACTATCATTAATGTATAATTTAAGTATTAAAACATTTATTTATAATATTATACTATAAACCCGCGCAATACGATAACAAAGCGTCAAGCAAAATGACATCCTAGTGAAACATAAAGCACAATGCAAATTCTCTTTACGGTAAGTGTACGATAGTTGTTATTTTCTTATTGGACTTAAATTTAGTCTCGTTTTCTTGTGAAAATTGATGTCGTGATTATAAATCAAACGTTATATTCAATTTTGTTTCAGATCTTTGTTTATTTTATAGCGATGTTGGATGTAAACGGAGCTGCCAAATTTGATACACTAGTTTATCCCTTAATGTTTAAAACGAATAGTATTAACTATGGGAAGTTGAATTATTATAATCCACCAGACGTCAAATTAACAGACGACACGTTTAAAACTCCAGAGAAAAATATTAATCGCAGAAAACAAGTTGTTAGTGCACAAAGGATGACACCAACTTCTACTATGACTATAATCAGTCTATTAAATGGTTTCAAGGGGGGAAATGAATATACAACAAGCACACCAATAGAGGAACCTATACCGATCATTGAATATACCGAACCAATTAACAAAAAGCGCAGTGGTAAAAAAAGGACTGCTAACGCAGGTAAAACAATAGGTGAACTTTTATGGGGCAACCAAAATTCTATGAGTTTACCGTTAAATGAACAAAAACCAATCGTCTCACCTCCCGTGATCAAATCTAAACACCACAGGCAAAGTTACATTATCAATAAGCTTAAAGAAAAAGAAAATTTACAACAGTACTTAATTCATCCTGGTTACGATTACGACGATACAATTTGTAAAATTATAAATAAAAGATTATTATGCGGTTACAATAAAAACCTCGGAAAAATTCATGATGAGACTGCTTACATCAATTTACAAGGTGATTGTCGAATGCGAGATGATAGAATAGAATGTGGATACTCAGGTGGAACCCAAAACCTTAACTATGAACCATACTCTAATACCATTTATCGAACTAGACCGGACCAAGGTGATAATGACAATACACCGCCGCCACCAACGAATAATCGAGATAATTTGGATATGCTTAGAAAACTAGCTGCAACATACGATCCTCACCAAAATATTCGCTCATCAAATCTCAGAAACGGAAATGTCGATTTTTATTAAGAATATGAAGAATATTACTCTCGAGTACTAGATCAGCGTAAACTCCGTCAATGAAAAAGCGAAAATAAATCTGAAAATATAAAAGCCACTACATCCATGAATCTTAACAATGAAAAAAAACTACTTCAATTTAAGTGTAAATGCCGAAAAAGTACGACTAACGATGACTCGTGAGTCGCACAGGTGGCGTTATTAATGCCAATGAGAATTATTAGTCAACTACACGAATCTACATTGTTTCAAATTTAAAATTAAAATGTATATATTAATGTATATATTAGAGATGAAACGAATATCCGGTATCCGGCCTAATTTTACTATCCGGCCGCATACCGGCTAATAGAACAATACTTGACCGGATACTGAACGTTTAAAACTGAAAAAAATTCATAATCAGTACATCAATAAATTGATTTATTGATTAAAGAAGATAGTAATAGGATACATAAACAGTGAACTGTCGTCCAATAATAATCGATTTAAAATAATTATGTTTTCGTATGAACAATGTGTAACGATAATGAATTTCATTAATATTTAACATAAGAATTCAGTAATAATGAAACATGTAAGTAAATTTAGAAAAAAACATCTGGCAAAGACTGGTATCAAGTTTTAAAATAAGAAATCATCATAAACAACAAATCAATGAAATCACACTGAAACAAAAGAGTAACGTTTGATATGCTATCAAGTACTTATAAAATAACAACTAGAAAGTTTAATTTTATTTTATATATTTTTTATGTAACTGTTTTTTCCATCTCCACCACAAGAAAATTGCATTCAGTACAACAAACAAACGGCACTGATATTAAAATATTGCTAAATTGCCCATATTTTTATATTTTATTGTGTATTTGTTTGTATTATCGTCTTAACAAAAACTAACTGGCCGCAACAATTCAAATCGTCAATGTGGAAGTGCGGAAGTGCAATCATTCACTAATCTATCAATCACGGCGATGCTCGCTCTAAACCGATGGTGACATGTATATGACCGTTCGGTCCGATATCCAGCGCCCGGATGTTCGGCTATCCGGTCCAGTTGCTCGCCGGATATCCGGTATCCAGCCAAATCACTATCAGTTTCGTCTCTAATAAATATCACTTTTCTGCATATCAACCATGCATTGCTCATTGTTTACGCATAATTTGATAGTTGTCAAAAATCTATGTTAGATATATTTTTATAAAAAAAATTTAAATTTAATTTCAATAATGTCAAATGTATTTTTTCACTATTTAAATGTTTTTCCTTTATAAACAATTAACCTTAGTAATACCTTAAGATTATCATGTGTCATTTCCAAGGGTGAGAGCCTGGTGTCTTGTAGTACAGGCGTTAAGCCTTTAACAAGCACCAGCTCTCAAAAATAAGTTATTGCATGTATCTTAAATTACTAAGAACTATATGTACGTATTTTTGTGGAGGAATAAACGTTATTATTATTATTATTATTATTATTAATGATAGCCGTCAATATATATATATATATATATATACAGCATCATATCAATAGCATCACTAGGCACTTAATAAATAACTAAATGCAGCTACACTCAGCGCAGAAACGTGCTACCACATTACAACCCCTAGTTAATGGACTAATGAGAAAGGTGAGGTATTTCGTTTTACTGATATGACCGACAAGCCAGTTTGCACCAGTACTAAAGCGATATATCCAAAATGTGTCAGTTTCTGAAGTTCATTTGACTTTTTTGCATACTGTTGACCATATTTCCTTATAAGAATCACACCTATATTTTCCGCTGCTTATTTTAACCGATAGGCTAACTCGCTCTCTGGATGAAAACCAACCACCTGAACAGGCAGGCTTCCGGAGTGGATACTCAACCATGGACCACATACACGCAGTCAAACAACTGATGGAGAGATGCCGCGAATACGACCGACCCTTGTGTCTCGCCTTCGTCGATTATGAGAAGGCTTTCGACAGTGTCGAACACTGGACTGTGTTTTATTCTCTCCATCGCTGTGGCATTGACAAGCTATACGTGGATATCCTCCGGGAGGACGCACCGCATACCCCACGTGGAGATACGACATCGAACAAGGGCCATAGACGTCGATATACGGGTCGCGAACCTAAAATGGAGATGGGCAGGACACGTTGCTAGGCGGGACGACGACCGATGGACCAAGGCGGTTACTGAGTGGTACCCGGTAGGAGCGAGACGTCCTCGAGGCAGACCACCTGCTAGATGGTCGGATGATATTGTCGGGGTGGCCGGAATATTGTGGATGAGATTCGCACAAGATCGATTGAGTCGGCGTGCAAAAGAGGAGGCCTGTACCCAGCAGTGTGTGTTAACGGGCTGAGATGATGATGATGATTTTAACCGATTCGCATACAACATGGTCTCACTGACTAATTTGTATACATAAAATTTAATTCTTCCACGACCCTCTCTACCCTCCTTGAATAAACGACCGAATCTATTTGCATTTTAGTAACTCAATTTCGCTAAAAATGTCGGTTAGGTTGTCTATGATATGGACGGACGGCGGTACTACCCTTCCCACGAAGTGCTTTGCTTCTTTCAAAGTACTGGGATACACAGCTGGAATCTGTTTCCCCAAAGCTATAATTTGGGGCTACTCACTAGACAAACGCATAATGTCGCCGTTTAATATCAGGTGAGATTCTGACCAAGCGTCAAATATGTATATTGTACATAGGAAAAAAATTTCATATTTTTTCTAGTAAAAATTGAGAAAAAACTATGTATTATTACCCAGTTTTGTGTAAATTCATATTGAAAGCGGTTGCTTTACGGTACTATAGTTATCGATATTTGTTATTTATTTTTAATTCAATTTAACTTTAATTTGTATTTTACAATTTTCGGCGGTTACGACACGACATTTTCCATATAATATAATTATAGTAATTCTAATATTTAGGTATTCTTAAAATTGTAAATATTCTTAGCATTATTGAATGCAATTTTGTTTTGTTGACATCTGTACACAAACGTTATGACTTAACTATTATAAAATCACATAAAACCGCGTCAATCAGAATAAAAACCTCGCAGGCATATTAATGTACAATGTCAGTACTGTTGTTGGTAAGTATGTTTAATTTAATTTGTATCAACATGGTTCATTACATTCGAATATAGCGTCGCACAAAATATCCTAATCTCCTTTATAACCCTTGGCGCTGCCTTTATTGCGCTCTTTGTACTCCATCAACTCCTTTGTTTTGATTCCTTTGTCGCTTTTGAGGCAGGTGTCAAACTCAACGATTCCAATGATCTTGACCCCGTGGTTTTCTAGGTACAACGCGGCGTAACTCACAGTTTACTCCGTTTTTATTGTTAATTGTACGTAGAGGGACTAACAAAAAGATGCGACATTATATCAGCACAGTAATCATATTCGTGATAACAAACAACTCTAGCAGCTAGAAAAGTAACTGATCAAAATGATATTTTGTGTTTCCATGGATGTTTCCGATTGGTGTCAATGGGAAATTTGAGTGTTAAACTTGGTGCTTACCATGATTTAGTACCAGTAGAGCTCCTTGTGAATGAGCTTGTCCAGGGAAGTACTGCCACCTTACCTATTTCAGTAATGTGAGTATTACTGCGTTCCAGTTTTGAAGGGTAAGGTTGCTGGTGAAATTACAGACACATGGGACTTGGCACCATATGTCTCCGGGTGACGGGCAATGTGACAATGGCTCTCAGATCTTTAAGATTTCGATTTGAAACTCTGAGTGGCACTGCAACTGCTATGAACAGGGGTGTCGTTTACCACCAGATGCATGACTTGCTCGTCTCGTCACTTGGTATCATAAAAAAGTAGGTACTTCCGCCAGTTGTGACATGGTCGTACCTTTTTGTGTAGAAGGTGTGTCTTTAATTTTATTTATATTTTCAAACATTTTACTTGAATGATGGAATAAGTAATTTTAAATTTGATTTCAGGTATGTCTATGTATTAAGAACATTGACGGAGCTCCTAAATTCGGAAATGCACTCTATGACCCATTAATGTATGAAGCGATGAAGCATGGATTGGAGTACAATAATCCACCTCACGTGCAGGCTAGAACACAAGATAATGAATTTGATGGTCCTGATGACGATGACTATTTAGAAAATTCAGATGATGAAAAGGCTACTTCAACGGTTCTTACACCACTAAATGAATCTCAAAATGACTCAAGAATCGAAACTATAAACGCTCACACCGAAGAGACAACCAACGAGTCAACTACTATCATCGAAGTTACGACCGGCAAAACAAACCAAAGTAGTCCATTAAACAATCTCCTACAAAGCTTAGCCAAAAACGCAACTAAGCTCGTAGATCAAACCACCGCCACTCTTTCGGAAGCTCCTAAAAACGTAAAAACCATCGCTATAGCCAGAAGTAGCTGTGCCTCTTGTGTTGGTAACGTACAAAACTATCATCCGCTGGCATTACGACAAGGAGATGCTGGCGGTGATAGCGTAAAAAAATCTGGGTATGACTATGACGAGAATATGTGTAAAATTATAAACGGCAGAATATTGTGCGGCTACAACAAAAACGTCGGTGAGATCCAGGATGATACAGTTATATTAAATATTGACAGTAACTGTCAAATGCGTGATGACAGAATAGAATGTGGGTATGTACCTGGAAATAAACCTGCTGATGTTGTACGCTCCATACCCTCTGTTAATGATACATCTGCAGAATTATATGACCCATTACCAGAGAAAAACTTTAATAAATCAGAAATCCTTCGGGATTCATCCATAATTTTAACAAATGGTGTTAGGGATTCACCTGAATCATTAGGATACCCAACAAACGATAATAATAATATCTCTGAATCTGATTCGAATAAAGTGAAGTTGAAACAGACTATTTCAGAAATCAGTTCACAACAAAATGTGCTGAGGTCGGAAAAGGTAGTAGGTATAATTACTACGGCTTCTACTGAAAAATCTGTTGATATTATCGAACGTTCGAACACCGAACAAGTGGAACTTTTAAACACCCATTTTGATAATGTTAATAATGCGATTGGTAATTTTGAACCGACGACGTCGCCACAGTTTTACGACCACCCTGATGTAATTGACTATGTTACTACTGTCAATGAAAGCATAAACTTTGTTGCAGAAGCTCAAGTTCAACGTCGCGTGGAAGAAGACGTTCAATTGAGTGATACAAATGGACCAGCTTTTGACAAAAACATTGACAGAAATTATCTACAAAATCCAAATAGTATTAAAGAAAAAAATGAACCCCACGTCGAAGTAACTTCAGATGCTTCCAATTACAAAAGAGTTACTAGATGTGTGGAGATTGGAGATCGCATAGTGTGTTATAATATACAATTAAATGACATAACGCCTCATATGTAGTGCTATTTTTACTATGTGTTTTTAAGTTATTTATTAATGACAATAAGTGGAAGGATGAAACAGTGTACTTCTCTTAGGTGTATTTTTAAATTATTATATGTTGTTATAAACGCTGTTTCAGTAAATTATTTCTTTGACGTAGGTGCAATTTTTTGTGCCTAATATTTAATAAACGCGCTATGCGATTAATACAGTTAAGTATTATTTAGTATTATTTACAACAAACTTTACTGAAAATTCAGTGAATAACCACGAAAATCTTAAATTTAACCCCTATGCATTTGGAACTTGTTGCACTAGAACCTAAAGCTCGTTTTACCGATACGCGATGTATGGGTACATTATGAATATTTATTATTAGGTTACGCCTTTGTTATAATTGCTATTTAAATATGTTATATTCAGGACTATCATTTTAGTTTCTTCTTCTTTGAGTGTATCTCTAACTAATGGTAGTTTATTAGCCAGCTCCGTATTGCAACTTATTCATGTGTTTTGTGAGGCAATAAGACTTTTCATTAACTCGCTAATCACACTTGAGTAATGTTCATGTTAGTTTTCTCTTCCGATTTCGGTGACAGTTTTTATTATTTAAATATTATAAAACATTATCATGAAGCATTATTTAATATTCGATTTTGTATTCTGAAATGTTATTTAATATTCCACGATAATATCTCGAATACTTACATAATAAAAATTGCCACTGAAATTAGGTAAAGAAAACTAACCTGAAAAATAGCCATATATAGTTTAAAGAAAAATTTATTCAATTAATAAACTATACATAGAACTGCATTCTTATGTACTTTTAGTAATCCTACAAGCACATTTATTTGTTAGTTAGTAACTATGTCGTGGATGTAATGTACGCTGTGTGACTAATTGACATCGAATTAACGCCATTATCGTAAATACTTTATTATATTGCGTTTATTGCGCGCATTTACGGCTCAATTATGCAACAATTAATTTAATGGACTTTGAGACCGTTCAATTTTATTTTTATTTATTTACCAATCGTCAACGGATTAAAACAATATTACAGAGCCCAAGTTAGATAATTTCTAAAGATATACATATGCGATCCTGTTTTAAGTATGTATTAAAATAAAAAAATATTGTGCTACAAATGTGGAAAAATATGCAAAAACGCATCTTGCCCGTAGACCACCTAAAAGGTTCGAACAATAACACCTAAAGTTTTCATTTGATTCATTCCCTGAGCATTTTCTTGTGATAGGAATACTGCTTAGTGTCACGGCAGGTTTATCCTCAGACCACACAGAGGCTGCCGCGGAAGCGTTCCGGGTTGCGGGAATTTTTGTAATGTACGAGTTTATATGAACCCTGTCACACTGAAACGCACGGCCGCGTTCATATAAACTGTGGCAGGGTTCATATAAACTTGAGCATTAACGTTCTACGTCCTTGTCATAAACACTCACTCACAACTCAATTTCGTTAAAAATGTCGATTATGTTGTTCATGATTAGTACCGCGGTATTTTGGTCAGCATACTGTAAAATAGTTACGACCTTAGAACCCTGCCTCACTGGGACGCCATGGAGTCGTCGCCGGCTACGTAGCCAAATACCTAACTCCTAGGCACCTAACTCCACTGTTTTTTCATTATTAATTTCTTTAATAAAAAAAATCCAGCGAATTTAGATCCGGTGAACGCGGAGGTTATAAAGTTGGCCCCAGACGACCGATCCATCTGTCTAGGTATGCTATGCAGTGTATTTATAAAGATTCTTTGGTTGCACTCCTTTTGCATATTTCAAATCTCTAACATAAGGTTGCCTGGAATAATTGCTACTTTGCAATAAGCCCACCTGTTGCACATTAACCGCTCGAATTGTACATGCAATAAAGAATATTTTATTAATTCATTTATTCATTCATCTTACGTTCACGATTGTCTCAATATATAACAGAAATCATGTTTTTTTATAATAAAACAATATTAACGTGGAAGGAGTCGCATCAGTAGGAGCCTTTTCTTGTGAACAAACATTAATTTTGTTGTAGTAATGTTATATTGAAGGTCTTGGTGCAATAGAAGAAATAACCTAATGCCATCCTTACAAGCGTTCTGTGCTTAGTAGTTGGTTTACATATTAATAATACACAGGAAAGACGAAAAGTGCGCTGTTGCGGGTCGTACGTACATCAAGAAAAAGTTAACCTCAAATAATAAGTATAGTACAAAGAAACTAAAAAAAGAAGTACAAAGAAAATACAACTGGAAAATACAACAATTTAGCTTCGTGTGAAATGAGTTCATCCAGGGAAGTACAGCCACCTTACCTATTTTAAAAAAAGCAGTAATGTGAGCATCTGCATTCCGGTTTTGAGGGGTAAGGACGCTGGAGAAATTGCAGGCACATGGGACTTGCCAACTAATGTCTCAGGGTGACAGGCGATGGGCGCAATGACAGTGTCCCTCAGATCTTTGCGATTTAAAGCTCTGAGTGCCACTGCAAATTGTTCGTCACGTCAGGTGTCATTAAAAAAAAACAAAAGTGCAACATAGTTGAAAAATTTTTATTAAACATCACATCACAGATTACATTCATCTTCGAATTTTGTTCCTTATTACAAAATTTGTTTACACGAGTATGTCGATAGCACTTTACTCACACATGGGCAGAGCCATCAGAACTACTTTCATGGTTATTTTCGTCCCCAACCGTGTTTATGGTAGCCGCCACGGTGGTATCCATGGTACCCACCACGGTACCCACCATGTGAAAGTGGTACCCACCATGTCTCCAGCGTGACTCTTCTCCTTGAAGGACTTCCTGATCTTCAGTGGCTGCTACGGGTGCGACTTCTTCCGCGTTCCGGGATCCACAATCCGTTAACCGATTTCAATAAAATGTGGCAAATAGTACAAACCTGCGTGCGTGCGTGCGTGCGTGCGTGCGTGCGTGCGTGCGTGCGTGCGTGCGTACGTGCGTGCGTGCGTGCGTGCGTGCTTGTGTGTGTGTACATAGATATACCTAACCGACGACGTTTCGGTTCTGAAAGCTTTTTTACGCATTTATGGTTGAAATTTGTATTCTGTATTTAAGAAAGTGTATACTTTCTTATATTGAAGAAAGATTTTTTTTCTTTCTTATTGTTGCAATAAGGAAGTCAAATCCCTCAACAAAGAAAAATCTTACAACTCAAAGGTTAAAGGTTAAGTTTGTTTAACACTTTTCATTACATATTTATCTACCTAGAACCAAATTTCCGGCTAGGAGGTCAGGTATCATAGAGCATCGACTGTACTACTTGAGATATACTTACTGTCCTTGTAAATTTTTTTAACAGTCATAAGCTATACTGTAAGGCATTTTTTTCAGGCTTATTCATCACCCTGCGCTTTAAAATAATATCAATTTACATAATATGACGGACATAAATTAAAATAAATAAAATGAAATAAACCTTTAATTACTACTAACATTATTCGACATTTACAATTATTACTAGTTACATTTACATGTTATTACATACTATAAGTTACTTTTACTTATTATACGTTATACTATTTATTACATTTATCTTATTAGCTAGCAACTTCCTCGGCGTAGGCCTAGGAAATAGGGGAGCCTATTGTCTTCCATAACTATCTTTCCTATCCCTGGCTTTCGCCATCCATTGTTGTCCTGCTTTATCTATAAAAGTATCTTCCCATCTTTTCCACGGCCGACCTTTACGTCTTGTTTCGTTTCTTGGTATCCACTCAGTCACTCTCTTTGTCCACCGATCATTTTCCATTCTACATAGGTATATGCCCTGCCCACTTCCATTTATGATATCGTATAGTATTTGACGGACATAAATTAATGATTTAAGAATTATGAGGATATCTGAATATACAAAACTAAAATGCTATTTTGGAAAAATATCGCGTGTTACACGGGCGTCATTGTGCAAACTCATAACAGTTTAAATCTCACCCTAGCAAAGTAATATCCAATAATAAAAGAATTGTTTTCTTATCTTATCGGTGGCATACACTAATTATAGCTTGCCGTGGTGGTCAAAGGATTTGCCCATCGGCGTCAGGTACTCTTCGATTGTTGCCTAGAGTACCCTGCGTGCAGGAAAGGAATGATACGTCGTGCGGGTTCGACAATGCGACCTCTTTCATCGTCATCCTACCTTTTTATCACCCTTTTCTCTGATTCCTGGCCACCTACTTTGAAATTTCGAATCGTTCTTAAATTTATTTTCTTCTTCTCTCTTACTTTTATTCTTTCCGTCGCCACTCTCTACTAAATTTAGTCTCATAATAGTAAATTTAGTCTCGACGTCTACCCATGTGTAGATTCACAAATCGTTGAAACTTGGCGGTATTACGCGTGCGTAATACCAAGCAGGGCTCGCGTAATTAAATAGAAGGCTCGGCCCACATGAATTTTAATGTAGATATAAAAGTAAGAGCGACGAAAAAAAGAATTTAAGAATTATTCAAAATTTCAAAGTAGGTGGCCAAGAACCATAGAAAAGGGTGATAAAACGGTGGGATGACGATGAAAGAGGTCGCATCGTCACACTGGAAGGTTCCTTTCGTGCAAGTAGAACAATGTACAATTCTATTTTCGGCTAGTAACGTAAAATGAAAATGTTAAGTATGAGTATTTTGATTAACACACATACCTATTCGTTTTATTTTCATACTTCCATTAAATTCTTGGGTGTTCCTTGGTTTTAAGGAAAACACTAACTTTAATTTTAATTATTACTTAATAACACAGTTTATAACAAACTTAGCGATGGAATTATGATGATATGGTAATGTTCCCATATTTTTTCCATTTTTATTACGAACAACATTTCAAGGAAAATACTTAGTCGTCATAATAACTAAATTCCTCCTAACTACTAGGAAAATTTGAACGAATCTTTGTTATTAATAGGTACATAATATACTTTGTAGTTTAGAACCACAGAGGTGAGTGTTTAAACGATAAGCACTTAAAAAGTTTGCTTTTTAACATAGTACACAAGCATGCTTATAATTTTAAGTTGTAAGCATTTCTCAGATCAATAATTCAACCATTTCAGTTTTTACAACGTGCCTAAGTGTCATTAGTGATATAAAGCAAAACAAAACCTTATAACTAATTAGAATCTACACTACTATAACCAATTACAAACTATTTACAAGATTAATAAGCAATATT